CTTTTAGCAACTCGTTTAGTAAAACTAGTTGAAAGCAAGCATGATTTTAAAATTACGAAACGCTGTTTTTGGTCAGACTCGGCTACTGTTTTATGTTGGATTAATCGTGATCCGAAAGATTTTAAATTGTTTGTCGCAAATCGATTGAGTGAAATCTAAGAAAATTTTAAAGAGAACAAGTGGCGGTGGGTACCCTCGAGAGAGAATCCAGCAGAGGACGGTACACGATTCACGTCGGGAAGTTTAAGTTCGGGAAGTCGATAGTTAAGGGGCCCAAATTTTCTAACGGAAACTGAAACGGGTTAGCCAGAGCAAAGAATTTTGAATTTCAAAAATAATAAAGAAGGAACTGGTGAAGAAAAAATAGTAGTTTTTAACATTCAAGTTGAAAAACCTTTAATCGATTTTTCTCGTTTTTCTTCGTGGGTACGGCTTATTTTAACAACACGTCGGATTCTTTATTACGTCATGAAGTATATATAATACAAAAAAAAGATTAGTAGTAATAGACATTTCGTTGACAGACTTACGAATAAAAGCAATCGATTTATGTGTTAAAATTTCGCAAAAAACATCCTTCTCAGAAGAATTAAGCACGCTAACAAAAAATAATAAAATTTCGAAAACTAGTAAGCGACATTTCGTTGACAGACTTACAAATAAAAGCAATCGATTTATGTGTTAAAATTTCGCCAAAAACATCCGTCTCAGAAGAATTAAGCACGCTAACAAAAAATGATAAAATTTCGGAAACTAGTAAGCTATACAATTAAGACCCATTTCTTGACGATAGAGGAATTTTGAGAGTAAGTGGAAGATTGACAAATTTTGAAATATCAAATGAAAAATTAGTGTACAAACCGATCGTTTTAAATACGAACTCGCAAAACTGTTGATTGTATATTACCATGAGAAACATTTTCATGGAAGTCATGACACAGTCGTAAACGAAATTAGGCAAAAATTTTGGATTCTCGGTCTTCGTCAAGCCCTTCGAAACGTCATTTTTAAATGTTTGATATGTAAAAAGCGGCGTGGAAAACCAGCGGATCCAAAAATGGCTGCGTTGCCATACGCAAGATTAGCATATAAAGAGAGACCGTTTTCTCATTGTGGGTTAGATTTTTTTGGTCCTTTATTTTGTTAAGTTTGGTCGAAAGCGCGAAAAAAGATGGGGGGCTCTGTTCACTTGCATGACAACACGAGCCATTCATTTGGAACTAGTACACAGTTTAAACTCGGCCATTTTGGCTTTTAAAAGATTTATTGTACGTCGAGGAGTTCCCATTGTTATTTATTCAGAAAATGGAACGAATTTCAAGGGCATGTGTAATGAATTAAAAGATTCAATTATAGTATTACATAAGTCAAAGAAAAATTTTGAAGAATTTTCAGCACGCCAGGGATTTTACAGGAAATTTAATCCTCCCTCGCTCTTCATATAGAGGGAGCATGGGAGAGATTAATTAGGGCTGTAAAGATTAGTATTCACGCGTCATTGAAAGAGCAATCTCCAAACGAGGAAACGATTCTCGCAATTTTTTCTGAAGTCGAACATACAGTAAATTCCCGTCCATTAACTCATGTATCATTAGATCCGCGAGACAAAAAGGTTCTAACGCCGAATCATTTTTTATTGGGTTCCTCATCCGAAAAAATACAATTTTGTAAAAACGATAGCCAGACACTTTTTTCAGGAAAGCAATGGAAGATTTGCCAGTTCGTGACCGATCTTTTCTGGAAAAGATGGCTCCATGAATATCTGCCTTCCTTGTTACCGAGAATTAAGAAAGATGATCACATAAAAGGGGGAGACGTCGTCTTAATTGCCGATGAAAACATCGAAAGGAATCAGTGGAAAAAGGGTCTCATTATGCAGGTTTTTCCTAACTCTGATGAACAAGTTGGAGTAGTGGAGATTAAAACTGCTACAGGAATTTTCAAGCGACCAAGAAGAAAGTTAATTCGTTTTGTTAATGTACAAAATTAAATTTTTTACGGGAAGAGAATATTGCGGTATCCTTTTATAAACACTTGCCTAAATTGCTAGTCAATTTTAGTATTTATTTCTACCTCGAAAAGCTTCTCTTTACGGAGATAGAAACCGTACTAGGCCGTGTCGCGACCGGTCGATTAAGGGCCGAACCGGGGACACCTATTCCCTCTCACCGGACGCATTTCAGGCGCTCGATAAAAGAGGGGGACCACGGGGTGGGAAAGCAAGCGGTTCTCCCACGGACGTTTGGCTGATACGCAGTTTTTTGAGGAGAAAATATCATCGTCTTAGCAACAATAGTCAATATTGATTTTCTATTTTGTCCAAATATGTTACTATGGGCGAGCGTACTTTGTTTCTGTTTGTTTGGTTACGAGCCAAAGGGGAATCAGATAAATGTCAGATCGCTGCGTATTTGAAGAGCGAGAACATCGTTTTGTAAAAGAAATAGTGAAATAAATATATTCAATTCTGAGAAGTGATATCTTTTTATTTTAATATTCATACTGAATACAGTCAATCTCTGCTGCAGTCGTCTTACATGACAAAATAGCAGCTGTATGTGGTGAAGAAAAATTTAGTATTTATGTAAATCTTAGTCAAAAAATTTCCCCTCATGCAACAAAAGCCAACGGTTTGTCTGAATTAGGCGGAGAATTGTACTTTTTGGGAAATATAGTAGTAACGTTAACTTTATATGAAGCTTTATTGGCTTTATCTTCTTTTTTACGTAGAAATTCTAATTCATGCATATTAGTAGCTCATAACGCTCGTTTCGATGTACCGAGATTGATAAGGGCGATAGAAAATACGGAATTGAATGATAACTTTAAAACGATACAGGGATTTTCAGACAGTTCAGCGATGTTTTGACAAATTTATCCAGAAAAAAAGGAGCTGGAGTATTCAAACTAACAAATTTAGCGAATGATTTATTAGGAACTCAAAATGCTGATCTTTTCCACGAGGATCTTTTTGACATTACAGTCTTGCAAAGCATGGTTCATAAAGCAGATAGAAAAGAATTGTTGTTTTCTTTATCAATAAAATATTAAGAAGCACTATAACGTTACAGAAACAACAATAAAATCAATAGTGGTATCACTAAATTAGGCAATGTGAACGTTATTGTTTCTAAAAGTATTTTACAAAAACTTCCGCTTGCAGACATTGATTTAGAACAGTAAAGAGACATTTATAAAAAAGAGAAGGCAGAAGGAATAATAAATATCCTCTCCTCCAAGTCATTTAACAGTAAGAAACCTCTAGTGACGAAAAATAAAAAAGTATTAACAAAGATAACAAAGTTTAGTCAAGACAACTATTAAATGTAATTTAGAATATTTGTATAATGGTCTGAATGTAAAAATTTAAATAAATATTTATTTATTTAATGAATATTACATATTTATTCGATTTATGTTTTTAAAAAAGTTTCACTGATAAGAACATAATTTTGAAACAATAGGTTCAATGTTTCATAATTATGTACATTTTGGTCTCATAATCTTTTTATAAAAAAAGTAATTCAACAATTGGGAACCATAGTTAAAAATTGGAATAAAAACGGTAAATTTAGGGGGCACCAGTAAAAATTAACATTTTTACCACTAAAGCTTACAATTAAAAACAAAAATTAAATAAACAAGTATGATACAATTTGCAGTTATAATAGGGACATTTACCATAGTGAACGTCTGCTATACACGTTTTATTCCGTGTACCTCTTATCAGATGTAAATGTTTTTTTTATATTATCATTATTTTTAGTTTTTTTCATCAAATAATTTATACTTACATATTTTTCAGCAAATTATTGAATATTTTTTTTTTCCAAATAAATATCTACGAACATAGTGCATTTATTTTTAGGCTTTATTGCTAACGAGTACATATAGCCTTGTTTCAGTAAGGACCATTGTTACATTATTAGCTACGTATTATATTATTGGTTACATTTTAACATTATTGGATATAGTTTGTAAGTCGTTGGTGCGGTGATGATATCACATTCGTATAGTAGATTTAGTTTTTTGGCCCAGAAAATTCTGACTAGCTCGAAAAAAAATTGGGTTGTAGTTTTAATCTATTCTTACAGAATTTAACAATTAGAAATGTCAGCAATAGCCCCAAAAACTACTACTCTTTTTTTTCGAGCTAGTCACAATTTTCGGGATATTGTTATGACTTTTAGCTAATTCTACCATACTGTATTGACCACCTCGAGATCGACGGATCTAAGTGATAGGCCACTTCGCTGCGAGAAGGTTGCCCATCTCCTTCATGAGAAGCATTGCGTGGTGAAAAAGCACATGTGAAAATTCAGAGAGAGGTACTTGCTCGAAACAGTCGCACTGGCCGGGAATCAAACCGTGATCTCCCGCATGCCCCGACCCGTAACCTAGCTGACCGAGCCGCCGTGCGTTCAATATAGTGTAGGTATTATAGTCCTCAATATACTTACCAAATTTCAGCAAGATCGATTCTCAACTTTTTTCAAACTTCTAAGAAAAGTAAAAAAGGGACCTACCAAAAATGGCCATCAAGAAAGTGTTGCTAAATGTAGTCTAAATATTTAAAAGCTCTTTTATTCATAACGAGTTAATCTATAACAAACGAAAATGCTGTTCTATTTATCTATAGACAAGTATGTTAAACATTATTTTTTTTAAATGCTGACTCTTACAGTCTGTATGGTTGCTGTTCGTGTACTTAAACTTGTAGACTATATTGTAGCGATATAGGTGTAAGATAATGTAGGACGTTATATAAATCAATGTTTTTTGTATTTCTAAAAAGTTAACAGTAGATGTTAAAGCTTTCAGACGTTAATGTAATGTATAATTTAGAATACCTTGTGCTAAATCGTTTGACTATAAAATGATCCATTGATTTTCATTCAGTAAATGATCTATGTTCAGGTATACAACGACAATGATCAATTGCAGATATAAAATTAATTAGGTGTAAAATTTTACATAAAGACAAATTAAATATTTTTCAGACTGACATATCCAGAAAAAAATCATTTGAAACGTTAAAAAGAGAATTCGAGCCTGCGATATGCTTGGATTACATTCGAGCTGGGATAGAAGCAATAATTGAGGATGACGTGACTTCTAGATTTGAAGCTGAGGAACTTAAGGTTTATACAAAAAATAGTCCAAAATAGATTTAAATAATGTTATTACCTGTATAATCATTACAAAAATTAATTATGGCAAAATATCGTTTATAGAACTGGAACCTTCTAACGCGGACAAACAGACGGTACGAGTTCATTTCATGGAAGTTAACGGTCATTTGGATGTGTGGCTTCTTCACAAGATATTGTTTTCTTCTTCCGTTGCGGATTCTTATTTGCTTCATTGGTGTAAGTATCTCCGAATTTCACTTATCTATTTAACAATTTTTCATTAGGCAGATAAAAATGAAGACAGAAGATGATATTTTTTAAGTGTACAAAGCTCATTAAATGTCGATGTTGATGAAAATTTCTATTATTTATTCAAGTAATAAGTTAACAAAAATTATTTATTTTAGTAATCAGTAGGATCAGCAGCTCAGTAGATAAATGACGACCAGTAGTTAAATGATTCATCGATAAAATTCATAACTAATATTTAAAATCTCTTTAAAACCAGGTGTGGATCTCGGGACCCCCGGCAGAAGTGACACTTTCAACTCGAATGTTATTAAACTTGGTATAATAGAAACTGAGAAAATTAGAGTACACCTAATTTAATTATGTCTATAAGAATACGATATTAAAATAGTGAAAATTTTAATATTACGTATTCAAGCACGCACGTGCATAGAATACGTACACTCTAATATACTACTTATGTTACACGTGATTCGCGCATTTTAAGTACTTCCATGTTTGCTATGATATATGCATCAATACATGTACGAATTTTCAGTTATGTAATGCAGAACCAAACAAAAATTTTCACCATACAGCCCCAAAAAGTCTTTTGATCCGTTAAGCGTGACAAAAATTTCTTTTATTTAAAATTACTATTCGTGCATTTGATATGGCATCATATATGTGCAATCAATTCTTGTTGGAATCTTTGTATCCGACAAGTTAAAATTTTTTTTAATTTTGGCTACCATAAAAGAAAATAATTCACTCTATCTGATTGGGGAAAACAATAGACATAGCCGTATTAAAAAAGGCATTTTCTATTGTAAATTTGTAATTTTTAATTTAATTTGTTTTTTATAATTA